AATGGGGGAGAATATGATCCTCCATCTGCCGGAACTATACCAAAACTCCATCACAAGGAACTGGGGGGTTACCTCATGGTCTCAGAACCTCACCACCCTCTACGAGACGCTGAGAGCCCTGGAAAAGATCTTAAGAACGATCGAGAGGCTCCATGACAACATCCGTCACAGCTGCCACTCGGCACTTGTCCGTCGGAAAGAACGTTGTTGGTTCGATCCCCAACACAACATTTCACTATAGTTTATTTGGGTGTTATCTTTTTGTCTTCAATACAATATGCTGGAATCACTGACAGCACCAAATTACACCATATCTCATATAATAACACCGTAACATAATTGATCTATGTTTATAATTTATTTATCGCCATTTATACAACAGTCTGCAACTTATAGCAAGAGTTTCAACAATCTGCAACTTATAAGAAGAATCAGAGCGAAAAAAATTGGATAAAATTTGTTACCCCATGGATTTACGTTTTGTATCAAAAAGTAGTGAAATTTCAGACAACTGAGCGTTTTTTGGTATAGCAATCATGTTATAGAAGAACCTTCAATATTAATCGACATCAAAAAATAACACCAAAAAAAACTATAGTGGACTGTTGTGGTAGGGGATCGAACCGGCAACCTTCTTCTCGATGGAGATGCTGATTGGCAGAGAGGAGTGAGACACACAGTGCTTCTCATACTGAACGCTACAGACGCAGAGGAGGAGGTGGAGCCGTTCTCACGCTGAGGTAAGAGTGGCAGAGGCATGACAGTCCACCCTCGCCATCCAGACACGCAGATTTCGGTCTGTGGAAGTCAAACGGCTAGGGCCAAAACACGTGTCTTGCACTGTTCAAGTGTCCATAACAAACCCCTATGAAAGGCTCAAAATACATTGTCAGAGCATGTTCTATTGATCGTCTATGGCCGATGCTCATCTCCGTCGGCGATGTTTATGCATAGTCCTATAACCAATTGGCCGAGACGGGTGATTCCACCGTGTATGTATTCAAATTTTGCTCGTTCCCGCGCCCTCGACGGTAGCCCTCGACAGAGAATAGGCGCGCAATTGTCCGCAATCCGGGCCGGCAAAGGTCATCCGTCCGTCTCATAGCGGTGGATTTCGTCCACACGCGTACGAATCGTTTTGTTTCATCTTTTGCCACATCTATTCTTTAATCAAAAGTAATCCATCGGAAATCATCTTTATGTGACCGCCGATTGCGGTGTTATGATTTTCAATTAAATCCAATGATGTAGAGTGGTGTGCAAAAACGTTTGCGTCAGCCGGGATTTGAACCCAGATCTTACTCATTTCGGGATCATGTGCTTAACCGTTGCACCAGCGACGCTCGTTTTCCACTCCACTCTTTACTCCAAAAGTAATCCTATTGAGAATTTGGTAAAGATTCTCGCATCCCTAGCGATCTCGTAGAAATAGTGTTTTTTCTATTAGTTTTTCTTGCACTGCGATTTACTATCGCAGTATTTTGACAAGTACACATAAATTTTGTTACTGCGTAGTGTATATAATGCTGAACAAAAGTTTGTTAATCTGAGAAAAATACGCTGTTTCGGTAATGCTTGAAGTCGGCCCCGACGACCGCGTTCGTCGTTCTCAGCTCGGTGTAAGACTTTTATCGAAAGTCGCATCGCTAACAAACGACGAAACTTCTTTCTTATCTCGAATGTTGACCTCGCTTGAAAATCCGACTATCTCTGAACTTCGGCATAGGTAAAAAAATGAAAATTTATTACAAACTATCCTTTTCTTTACTCAAAACTGCACGAGATTCGTACTTCCTTTTCCCAAAACTCGATGGTCAATGTTTCGGCGGCAGCGCCTTCGTCAGAACCTGAGCGTAAGTATCATGCCATGTCTGATTACTCGGGCAATATCTCGTATGCATTTCGTATGCATCGAGAATTCAATAGGAAAGAGAAGTCACTAGTCTAGTCACGGACTAATAAAATAAAAAGTAAAAAGTATAACAAGAATCGCAGAATGAGAGTGATAGCACAGCAAGGGGATTCGTAGTGTCAGCACGTGCTCTTTCGTTGAGTGAAACACGAGTTCAATTCTCAGTTGAGGTTCCGAGCTTTGCATGTCACTCAGCATTCTTGGACATGTTTTGCTATAGTGTTTCAAGAAAGTTGCGGTCCAACAACGAGGTCAGCTTCCTCAAAATTTGATGGTTACGTTTCGGCGGCAATGTCTTCGTCATAGACTAAACTTATACATCGTACCATGTCTGATTACTCGGTCAATAATTCATATGCATCGAGAATTCAATAGTAAAGAGAAGTCACTAGTCTAGTCACGGACTAATAGAGTAAAAAGTAAAAAGTATTTCATATGCGTCAAAAATCCAATAGAAAAGAGAAATCACTAGTCTAGTCATTCTGAAAAACCCCTACCTTATTTAGAGTTAAATGAGAGCGCTCACCAGTCTTGTGTGACACAATTTGTCGGAATGTCAAAATTCTGAATTTGTTAAGATTGTGTCACACAGGACTGGTGGCCTCTCTCATATAACCCTAAATAAGGTTGGGTTTTTCGAATGACTAGACTAGTGATTTCTCGTTTCTATTGAATTCTTGGTTGACCGAGTAATCAGATATGGTATGATATATAGGTCTAGGCTTTGACGAAGGCATTGCCGCCGAAACATAACCATAAAATTTTGAGAAAGTTGGCTTCGCTGTTGGACAGCAGAAAGTTTCTTGAGACACTATAACAAAGTATGTTCAAGAATGCTGAGTGACATGCAAAGCTCGAAACCTCAGCTGGGAGTTGAACTCGTGTTTCACTCGACGAAAGAGTACATACTGACGCTACACCACGACGCCCTTGCTGTGCTATCACTCTCTTTCTGCGATTCTTGTCATACTTTTCACGTTTTACTTTATTAGTCCGTTTTTACAGTGTTTTTTCTTTGTGCGGGTCCCAGTACTTCTAGCATTCAATTCGTCTAATCGTCTTGTTTTTGAATGTCGTGGAATACGGTCGAGCAAGTCTCCTAGTGATCTCGAAGATAGCCTCCTGGCTGTGGCGTTGTTTTTGACTGCCAGAGAGAGTTGGGAGAGGGTGGTGCTCGGTTCCACGCGCTCTGCGACGAGCACCACAACTACTCGGCCCACCGCCTCCCGATTCTTGTGATACTAACAAACTAATTTTCGTTTACTTTTCTGAAAATATTTGCTCTTCGAATTTTTTTTTCTATCGAATCGAAAATCGTAAACAATGTTGTTCCTTTATCGTGTATTTTATGATACATATGTACTCTGCGATCTTTGCGAACGGCAGCATAATTGATATCGGCAGTAGGCGCGATTTTCGTTCTTCAACAAAGATCATTTACTTCCTTTCGGAAGATACTTGAATTTCTCTCTAATGTAGAGCGTGAAAAACTTCTTTACAACGTTGTGTACTTTTGTGCATATATAACTTCATACAAAAAGAACTTCAATTGTGAAACGTAATTGTATTTTCGCTCTCACAGTGCGCTATGGAAATCCTTTCGAGACCTAGCTTAGGCTTCAAATTAGCCGAGATTTAGGATATCGCATAAGCTCAGTGTAATCTAACAAAAAACGATTCACAGACTTTAGCTGAGCAAATAAGGCAAATCTAGTGTGAAACATAATCTTATTTTTGCTGGTACAGCATACTACAAAGATTTTTGAAAACCCAACCAAAGTGTTGGAATCTCCGAGATTTAAGCTTTCGAATGACCACTTGAATTCCAAATAAGAAGTTCTATTCGGCGAAAAAAGACCTCTGTAATTTTGAGAGTCGAAAGGACCCTCATCGTCCGCAAAGGGCTAACAAAATCATGTAGAGCGGTGTTCAAAAACGTTTGCGTCAGCCGGGATTTGAACCCAGATCTTACTCTTTCCGATTTAGCACATGCTCCCAGAAAGAGTAAGATCTGGGTTCAAATCCCGGCTGACGCAAACGTTTTTGCACACCGCTCTACATCATTGGGATTTATAGAAACATCATAACACCACAAGGTGGTCAAATAAAATGATTTCGGAGCTAACTAAATGTTTTTCGTTCACTTTCCTGAGGACATTCTCTCTTTAAATTTTTTTATATCGGACTTGAAATCACATGCACAATGCCGTCTCCTATATTGTGTATTATATTATACGTAAGTATATAGTTTATAGAATATTCTCTCTTCTCTCTTCTTTCTTTCTTAAAGATCTCGGAATGTTCACTTGTTGCTTCGGTTAACTCGAGAGTTTCGTCTTCTTCATAAATGTATGTTCACTTTTTTTGGGTGGGGGAAGGGGTGGGGGAGGAGGAAGGGGGGAAGGGTCTGTGACAGCTGTAAAGTATGCCCGAGTGAGTGGTCAATGATGCCTGACGCAGAGCCGATACCCACCCCAACACTCTTCGCCAATCAATAACGAACGTCCCAGCCCAGCTATCTTCGAGATTGCAAGGAGGTGTGATCGATCAGTACTACGACACTTGTGGAGAATAAAACATCCTCAAGCAAGTGAGGGATGATTTGTAGGCTAGAAGTACTGGACCGCATAGTGGAAAAAAATCTGTGATGCGGTTATGATGGCTTCTTGAATCGCTCGCCTTGTACTTCTTCGCCACACGGGACTTATCCCAGTATCGGCAGCAGATCAAGGATTCATCATAATTGGTGCATCTATGGTTCAGTAATAGAATCCTGACACGCGGGCGACCCGGGTTCGTTTCCCCGGCAAATGCACCAATTGTGATGGCTCCCTGATCTACTGCGGATACTGGGATAAGTCCCCCGGGTGAAGAAGAAGTAGGTGAGCAATTCAAGGAACCATCTCTGTATACAAACTTTTCTATCGAATAGTCTCTACTTAACCTCACTATATGGTTTTCCAAGTTCAATAATTTATTAATCACATACACATTTATTGCATATAACGTCGACCCACATGCAGATATTGGGAAAAGCCTCGCGTGGCAGAAAAAAGGCGAGCATTTGCCAACTACCCATCACAAGTGGTGCGTTGGCCGGGAGTTGATCCCGGATCATCAGCTTGGCAAGCGAGCATTCCACCTCTGAACCACCAATGCGCCACTCGTGGTGGTTAGTTGGCGAATGCTCGCCTTCTCTTCTGCCACGGGGGGCTTTTCCGAATATCCGCATGTGGGTTGACGTAATTGGCAATAAACTTGCATTTGAATATTAAGTTATTAAACTTGGAAACCGTATAGTGAGGTTAAATAGAGTCTATCCGATAAAAGTTTTTTTTATAGTGACGTCAAATAAAGAGGTAAAAATAACGTTTTTTAGACGTTTTTGTACTACTTAGAATTACAGAATTGCAATTCTTCATATTTAATCGCTTTCAGCGATGGTATGCTGTTACAAATATATACCCAGTAATGTTGAGTTCTGTGCAAAACTCCGGAGTCGGGCGGGATGCGAACACCATTCCATCCTTCCGAGGGACGCGTGCTAACCATTGCACTACCGGTGTTCCGTTGTACCCTTACTCTTTCTTCGACACAGTTGTATCGATCTGTCAGAAAGCAAACTTCATCGTTGCACATCACTCAACATTATTGGATAAAAGAATTTTTATTCCGGCATGTCTTTGTAATGTTGCATTTCATCACAGTGTTCTGTATTCTAAAGAGACACTCCTTTTTAGACACACCATCTGATCCGTCTCACAGTTTTTTGCTGTGTGAGTCCCTATACTGCTGTCATTCATCGTTTTTCGCCTTTCTCATAAAAGTCGTAGAATATGGTCGGGTGCGTCTCCTTGCATCTCGAGGATAGCCAGGCTCTGGCGTTCCATAGAGCGCTCGTTGTTAATTGCAGAGAGTGTTGAGGTGGTCCTACGTGCGTCGCAACGATCATCACAACCACGCGGCCACGGCGCCCCCAGAACAACCCATTACCACTAAAAAGCATATTGAGGAAAAGATTATTCACGGGTCTAATTTTGTGAGAGAATGTGGGCCATTTATGGTTCATAAAACTGTTTTTCTACATTTGCCCCCATCAACTGCGTTGAGTGCCGGTTTGTGCTCCCAGATCATTGCCGTTGATTGACGGGTGATTGTATATAGCACCGACAGTGTTAAAATATGGCTGAGATAAATGCAAATTGAGAGTATTGGTTGGTATATTGAATAGCACGTGAGACCTCGAAAAGGGTAACCAAGGGTTTGAGGCTCAACTGTAGTTCCGATTTTTCTCACATCACAGCATTCGCGCTCAAATATTTCACATCACACCTTGCCAGGAAACCAAAGAATATAATAGTAAACAAGAGCTAGAATATTTTCCTACTTAAAAACTTTTATATTTTAAATTTTCCTATCTGCTCATTTGTGTGGCTCTGTTGTTGAAATCATGCATATTTTCTATTTCGTATAGAGGGATAGTACTCTTTTATCAACTCAATGACCTGAAGCTTTCAAGATGAAGTTTAAGGACGAGATTTGGAGTTGGGTTTATTTGTGGAATTTGAGACTTGAGAATCGGCAAGATAGAAGTAGAAAATTGGTGTGAAATAATCTTACATGTACGTCTCGGTCAATATACAGTAAATGTATCAGCTGAAACACCCATACACAATCAGAGAGGTCAATTAATGTGCTACTTGTAGAAATGAAGATCTCTGTAACTTTACATTTATCAAATTTCGTTAGCCCCTTGATAACCGCTTAGATTTTTTATCGTTACTAAAGTGGATTAATAGTCAATAAATGGAAAAATATGGTAAAAAAGATTTCATTACACCACTTTTGGTTAAAATATGCCAAAACGACTATGAAATAATTAATTGTCTGCCAGCAACGATACTACACATTGTCATGCCGCGTCAATTCATCGATAATTCGGAAAAACTCTAAATTATTAGTGGGCTATAGGAGTTGAAACTTCTATTGGGTTGTAGAAGAGGCTCTTTTCAATTGTCTTATAGGTGACACTTGGACGGCCCGTCGCCACTAATGATGCAGCCCCAGCATAGCAAAACTGTGCTAGTTTGGATGTTTTGTTCCCTGGACTCCCGAGGTAACCTAACCGGGGCTTCCTCAGGTCATCACCATATCAGAGCAGCTTTCCAACCCTCGTGGATCAAAGAGAGATTGCCATCTTGTGACTAATAGCTAGCGGTGAAGCCTGATACGGTTTACTCTCAGCCGGGCTTTCCGGGTGGAAACAAGACTTCTCAGCTTGCGTAATCCTTCTGGGGGTTGAATCTTCCGCTGTACTTTGCATTGCGACACCCAGCATCACCTCCCAGCCAAGATGAAGCGGTAAACCATTTGGAAGGCTTATGGTTAACTTTTATAATACTCAACCATAAACATCATTTGTCTCTGAAACCCAGAGACTACGCCAACGCTTCCAAAACATTGCACACTCGAAGGGCAGAACTAAGTACGAAAAGTTCACGTTTCCAATTGTATCAAGGAATTTTATGCTTTCCTCGGAGTAGTTATCCATGTTTCACCTTACACCATCATTCATTTTCTGTCAAGAGCATTTTATCTTTAATCATTGCTAGATTTTATCGTCAAATATTGTCAAATAGTTATATCATCATTTTGTACTTCCAAAATCAAACATGACAGCAACATCTTCCAGTTAATATGATCTCACTACATGCAATGCCTCAAAATCATCATCATGACAGAAAATACGGACAATGAACAGTCTGCCAAGAATAATGCTGCACATTCCATGCTATGCCATTTCATCGACGACTTCCTGATTTCCCGTTATCAGCGTACTTCAGGAGTTGGGACCTTTATACAATGTAGAGCACACCTTGTTCTATCTTTCTGTGGCTACAAACATTTTCATTATCTCCAATATTGCTCTTTGAACATCATTCATTAATGCGACTTTTGTCACTGTACATCACATCACTCCAATGTCGTTGATGAAATGATGAGTAATGCAGCCGGAAATGCGTATTGATAATTAGGTATTCTTAGGACAACTGGACGTTTTCCTCCAGTCAAAAAACGTTTATGGATGTCCCTGCAGTAATGCATAATCTTTCCGTAGCGTCAACGTTGGCTTGCAATCAAGATTTAACTATACAATATCGAAATTTTTGCTGTGAGGATTCAACAAGTGGCTAAATACTCCAAATACAAAACGTAATTTTCTTCTCGTTGCTAGAATATAGCATCAAAGTTTTTTTTACAAATCGGGTTTAGTATTGAAATCAGTATTTCCTAAGCTGTCAAATGATTACTGATAGTCTAGTGAAAAGCTGAGATGAATAAAGGCAAGAAAGACGAATCTCATCCCGCGGGTGCGACTGCATTCCTCACAATTTTGTAATGAAAAGCGAATATTTTTAAGACAACTGGGCGTCCTTTTTGCTGAAAATACGTTTATATAAATCCTTTCAATTCTCATCTACTTCTTTATCGAAACAAAGTTTGCAAAAAATCATTACTTAATATAGATAAAAAAAACCTGCTGTAAAGTCGAAACAGCGCACTCCGAATGCAAAACGTCTTTTTATCGTCAACAGAAGATACTCTGAAGTTCTCTTCATTAACTAGTTTCAGTACTAAAATTTTCACTTTTCAAATCACTGAATGATTACTTATAGTCCAGTGAAGAAGTCCTTTTGAGTGAGAAAGAAACTTTTCACTTTCGAAAAAAAACCCTTGAATAATTAACTCTTTTCGTTGCGTAAGTTTTGCTTAGGATTGAAATCTCACTAACATAATATCAAAAAATTTGCTGTGAAGTTGAAACAACGTGCCCTGAAAGCAGAGCATTATCTTTTTCGTTAGTAAAACGTAATATGAGGGTCATTTCACAAATCAAAATCGGTATTTCTCAAGCTATCGAACGGTTACAAACTCATACTTGAACACTAAGATGGTCCGTCTTCACCAATATTCCGTACTGCAGCACATTTTACATTCATTTCTTTCACTTGCGATTGTCGTTCATGGTGGTGGTGTGATGCGAGCTTGGCGGCTGGCGCGAGTTTCATCCGTGATTTGTAAAACTTGGGAGACAAAACATCGATAAAAAAGGGAAACAATCGAAAAGAATTATTATTAAACAAATGGAATATTTCGAAAGGATGGGTTTTTCTAAATTTTTTGACAATCGGACGTTCCCTACACCAAAGAAAACCTTTATAGAAGTATCTATTGTGATATTCCTTTATGTAGTAGTGATAATGTTCATTTAAAACCTGAATCTAGCAGACCTCTTACCGCATTTCCTTTCTGCGTGCGCAAACAAAAATTTCCTGCCGCACGACGTGACGAACCGATATATATATATATATACATATATATATATATATATATATATATGTACCTGTATGTATGTTTATAGACGTGTATGTATATATATATTTATGCGCTATATATATTATGCACTTCCATATTGCAAATGTATAAGAGAACATTTACGTATATACATGTGTATATACGTACGTATATGTGCATGCATATATATGCATTTATATATACACGTCTATATACACATATATAGGCTTGTCATGTATTTCTTATTCAAAATGAAAATGAAAATGAAAAAAATACACGTATACATATGTATATATATATATATATATATATGTATGCATATACATTTATGTATATGTACATATATGTATATACACAGCGTATATATACATACATGCACACACGTATAAGTATATACGTAGACATGTACGTATATATATATATATATTATTTATTTATTTATTTATTTATTTATTTATACCTATCTTCATAGAGACGTATACATATACACATGCATATGTATATGTTATATGTGCATATATTCACGTGCATCATGTGGTTCCCAATAAGTGTATCTGAACAATGGAAAGTTTGAAGATCGTCAAAGTTAATCCTGAAGGAAAAGAATTATTCAACATGATGGAGGATTTTTTGCGTTCTATTCCACCTTATGACGTTGTTTCATAATGAAACTAGTAAATGTACATAATATATGTAATATCTAATATGTATATAATATAGGGCGAGCCTAGCCGAAGCTAGTGGCGAAATCCAATATGTACAATGCCGTGGTTTGACCCCACTCAATACCACACAAGCCCCAT